TGTTCAAAACAAAATCTTGAGGCATAAAATCGCATGATCTGGGATTACATTTTAACAAGTTCTAAACGGGAGGATATCAATTGATTTTCGAATACATTTCTTAAGTATTTATAATTTAAAAACGATATTGAACCATTAATTTCATTATTTGCTTAAATAACATTATCAAACAGAGCTGATTTGAAAAAACAAAAAAATTAAAAATATGAAAAATTAAACAACAAAAAAATCACCCTTTATATTAACTTGAACTGCATATTAACTCCGAACTTTTGAAAATATACAAGATTTGTTGATTTCTTTGTGTATAAGTATAATAATCATCATAAATGCAATGATGATTTATCATAATATTGATGATTACAATTTGTGTGATGATTTTAATGCATCAACACAACATGATTTATATGTATGTAGGTATATACATAACGTATTATATAAAAATGCATAACCATCATACGTAACGTACATTTTGTAATCATCATTATCATCATCATCATCATCATCATTATATATAGCGGGCGGAATTAATAGTGTTGTTAATCAAGCAGCGCCTTCATTTCACTATCATTTGAGTCATTCAATCATCATACTACTAAATTTCATACAACATTATAAAATTATTTTCATCGTGTTATTAGAAAATATAATAAAGTAAGAAAATAAAAAGAATAAGAAGAAGGAGAAAAAATTTTTTTAGATATAACATGACTTTAATCTTATAAAATAACAAGAAGAAGAGAATTTATTATGAATTTCATATCCAGCATAAGCGCCGCAATTTTAATAATTTATTTTTCTTAAATTCATAATAATATATGAACATATATACGTAATATATGTATGTATAAATGGTTAAACGTACTTAAATATATAGGAACATTACGAGTATATCAGAAAAACAAGGATAAAAATTTAATAATTGAAACTTGAATTTGTCAGATTTTGTACAATTAGATTTTGGGTTCAAGTCATTATAACAAAAATTTAATTAACCATAAAATTTATTATACAGAAAATATTTTTGTAGGAAACCCGAGAAATTTAAGTTTTATTGAGTGTTTTGTTACCAAAATTAATTCAGAAATCTCAAATTCTTAATAATTGAAGAGGTAAGTTGACAAAGAGGTTAACTTACATTTGCATTGTAACAAACTTTTTCATGAACAAATTGTAAAATTATTAATGTTCACTGTCAATCTCGCCTTCTATTAAGTTCCTAGCTATAAGAGTAATCACAATTTAAAATATATGAAATATAACGGTATACTATCCGAAAAACCCGATTTTCGTCAAAATGTTAGTTAACCCCTTTGTCCACTTACCTCTTCAATTGTTATTGAATATCAATTCGCCTAATTCAACAGAAAGGTGAAACAGTCCATATTAGCCTTATATTGCTTTCATTTCGAATTGCCTCAAACTGATTTATAATAATTACTTGCTAAGTCTATTACAGGTAATATATTTCTTCACTCCATCTTCTATTTACAATTAAAATGTTCTCTTACAATATTGTCAATCACAAATAAAACAATTTAACAAAAAATTCAATGACACATTAAGCTGTTTCGGTCACGTCTACTTTAGTAAAACGTTATCTTTAACAAAAATTATTTTCCCCGAATAATACGCGTAACGCAAGCCGAATAATACGATAGCTCGTCAGTTATATTATATTGAAACCCACAATGAAAATGAGGGTTAGAAAGGTGAAATGTCAAAAAAAAAAAAAGGAAAATGTTACCTCAACTACTTCATTCCAACCCTTTTAAACGAAACTTCATACCTGTCATCCAGGGCAGAACGAAGTTAAACTAAATTTGAAATAGAATATTTGTAATATCCAATTCTAATTGGTAGTTAATATGCATTGAAATTTTACCAGAAAATTTTTAAACTTGCATACTAGAAAATTTACTGGAAAATTTCGAAAAAATTCAATTTTGAAATTTGATTCTCCGACACCCCTTTCAATAGACATTATAACATTAATCTAGTGTGTATATATATGAAAAAGAAAAACTAGAACATACCGATTATATACAGTGATTTTTTTTTTCTATATGGATGATAATAAATAATGATAGACATTGAATGATAGTAAAAAAACTGGTGATATACCAGTTATATTATAATGATGGAGAAAATGTTAAAAGATCAACTCGTGGATTAAGTGATCCATAATGTCAAGAAATAGAAAAGCAAAAAACAAAAAAAAAATGTTTTCATTTGACTCATGAGCATTTTTCAAAAACATTTCTTAAAAAGATAAAAATGAAACATTAAAAACAATAATACAAACACTTGCATAAAACTTTGGCATTATACGAACAACATTTATAAAAACAGCAGTACATCAATTGAATCACATTATATATTCGCAACATTATATGCACAATATTGTACAACACAACAATATTATAAGTACTATATATAAGATATAATACAAGGTCTCAGAAACATTTGGCCCGCGTTCCGATTACATATCGATTACTATAGATTCGCCAACTTTGACTGTATACAGATTAGATCAGAAAGCTATGAATGTGACTTCAAGGAAAAGAATGTTGAGATGGCTAGAATACACGTAACGGAAGTCTCATAATCATAAGAGTCAGGCAGGTATTTAATTGAAACCAGAAAGAAAAAATAAAGGGGGGTGGGGGCGGGACGCGTAACATGGGACGACGAACCACAATTGAAGAGGCCGAATTAAATGAAAAAATGGTGGTCAGAAATTGAAGTATTCACCCTAAAATAGAATGCGATTCACAGGATTTGTTAAAACCTTATGTCCTGCAATAAAAAGAAACAAAATAATAAGATAGAAGCATTTGCAAGACAAAATGACCTTTGAAGATATTTCTTTATGAATTTTTAGTTAAGACTTGGGTTAGAATTCTCCATTTTTGCAAACTTGGAACAGTTTTTACGGTATAAGATGAAACAGGTGATGAAATCATTCAACAAACACAGACCTAAGCCTTTTGTTTCTTGTATTTTCCTCGTGTGTTCCGAACCATATGTTCGGGTTTTTATAATAAGAACTATAATGATTACAGTAGAGAGAAAACATGCTCCCAACACCGAGAATTATTATTTTCTCAATGAAATACTAAATAATATAAAATTGACTTATCACACTAAAACAATTTTTTAAAAAGGAAAATATCACTAATCACCCTTAGAGTGAAAAAGATTGCCAATGACTGATATATAAACGATTTCGGACAATCACTGCATATTAATTAAGATAACCAGTACATCTAAAAATTGAAAATTTTTTTTTTAACCATGATAATCATAATGGCATGTGATGATTATGTTACATAGCTAAAAAAAAAAAATTTCATAATAGCCTAGGAATAAAACTGTAACAAATGAAGAGATGATTATTTATTATGAAAATAACATGAAAATTAGAATTACGCGATATGACAGCTTATTGCCTTAGGATAGTATGGGGCCAGTCATATAAAATTCATATTTTATATATGAAGTATAATGATGAGAAAATAAGAAAAATAATAAGTAAAATAAAAAATTCAAGTGATTTTATTACTCTATTACAAGACGCCATCTATATTGCATTGCAGTCCTTTGCATATTATTTTCTTTCTTCTTTTTTTTTTTAGGTTTTTTTGTTCCTTTACTTTATGATTACTTAATCTATTGAAAATTATTCTTGTAATTAGTAAACTAACGATAATATGAGTTATTTAGACAAAACTAAACAAAATTCGTAATGATGAAAATTTCTGCATGAATTAGACAACTTGAAAAGTAAATTATATTCAAATTTTAACAAGCCGCAGACTTTTTTTTCAAAATTTATACTTAAATTTGTTCTCCTGATAAATTTTAGTCGAGAAAATTTTCGATATAAATCGTGTTACTCCTTAAATAACGCAGAAGCTTCCGCAATTTTATCATTTAGAGAAAGATGACAAAACTCATTTTATATTTTTGCAACAATTTTCTGGTAAGTAATAGAGAAGTAATGGCTAGTTAGAACATTAAACATAGTCGCCCCAAATCTGAACTCATAGATTCATAATTAATTAGAATTAGTAAAAGTTGACAAGAAGACGAAATCAGTGCATGTTAGAAATATATAACGAAAATTTGAGCATATTTATTAAATTTATAGCCCTCATAAACTAATAGATTTAGAGCTTATCATCAGCTACGATCACAATACACAAACCAGATATCCCTTCGGATACATAACTGGTGTCTGTTTTAAGATGTAAAGCGTTATAGGATATGAGCCGCCGTCTTTTTCTCGTAATAGTTAAATACTTGCACAACGACATTTTTGTGCAAATGATAGTAAGAGGTACAGCGATAAGAAAATTCACTAGGAATTGAGATTTGAGGTGTACCTTAAGATTAAATTGATTAGGATTACTGCTACCTTAAGATTTGAACTGTAAACATTGACTCTAGGCTGTTAGTGATTATGTACGTGTTGTTTTTTGTTTTTAATGAAAAATTTAATTAAATTTTAAAATAATTTTAAAAATTTAACACTAAATTTACAATATCCTTTAAAAACTTAAAATAAAAATATGAGATGCAAAATTTTCTTTCCTTTTTTCTCAAACAAGAAATTTTCATTTTAATTAAAACATTTCAACAAAATATTTCCATTTAATATTAAACTCTTTGAACTCGATTACAACCTTACGATAAAGTTGTTCGGTTCTTTTTACTTTTTCCTTCTATACCCTTAAACAAGACTCATTTTAATTTTTTATGAAAACCAAATATACAGAACGTGGTACATCAGAAATATTTTTCATTTCAAGATTTCAACAAAGATTAACAAACAATAACAGCAACAAAACAGTTAAAAATTAAACAGAAAAAAAAAATAAAACAAGAAAATTAAACTGTAAAAAAAAATTTTTTTTTTTCCTTACTATTGTAACAGTATTTATGAAACAACACTAATTTTATTCTTTATTTTTTTTACTTTTCCATATTAATTTCAGAATTTATTGTGTGAAATTTTTACAATATTTACGTACACTATAATATCTGCCTACACAAGATGACGCAAAATGAAACCAGGAGAAAAAACACAAAAAAACTTTTATACTGGTTACTATATCTGGTATAATAAACTGTAATGAAAATGGCGGAAAATTTAATGGACAAAGGAAACTGTTTAAAAAAATATATAGCAACTGAAAGGAAACAAAAAATTCGATCTTACTGTTTCGCATATCATTTAACATTTCAACACAAGAACTGTAATAATGTCAATACATAAAATACATATATTTGGTGTCACAAACTACACAAACTCATATGGTGAAAACAGCTATACTCTTATAATGAAATTAAGAAAATAAAAATATTTTTTTGTGAGAGACCGAGAGAAAAAAACATAATATGATAATGAAAATTTTATACCGTATGTAACACAAATGTACAAACATAATAAACATTTTCATATATCCTTTAGGTAAGTAAAATTATTTTCAATTACTTATTTTATCTTAACAAAAGATATGGGAAAAAGAAGAGAAAGGCAAAAACTTATGAATTTTTAATTATTTCGATCTTAAGAGCCTTTTTTTTTCATTATATATCGTTTTTTTTTTTGTGCCTATTGAAAAATAATTTTCATAATTGAATTTTCTATACATACAGATAAAGAATTTTAACATGCATAATATATGCGAATAAAATGAAATTAAAATTTTGTCAAATAAAAATTTTAGCTGTCGATTTTTTACAGGTTTTGATGTATTATTTTGGAAGAGGGTTGGAAATCTTTGAAATTTTTGGCGTTCCGATTGTTTTTACTTCTTCGTACAATGCTTAGTCCTAGCAATACATCTGATAATAAGTAATTTTCTGTTTCCCATTTTAATAATTAATTTTGTGTTAAAAAGGATTTTGCACAATGGATTTTGAATTTTTTGAATTAATTCCAATAGTGGAATAGAAAAATTTCTATATTTTAGAAATAAAAATTTAATATTGGTGTTGGTTCTTTAATTTTGCAATATTATTTGCAAAAAAAAATAATAATTCTTGTAATAACTCCGATACAACTTCAAATTATTTTATTTTATTGTCTTGTAAACAGCTATTGCCGGTACACAAAATAATATTGTAAAAGGGTCATTATTACGTCAAAAGTATTTGAAATTATAAATATAGTGCATTATTAAGTCTTTTTAAAATTTCGAAAAACACAAAAGTTTATATGGAAAGGGACAACAATACTTCTTTCAATGGACCGTAACCAGACTTTCTGTTGCCAAAGAAGTGACTGGGAGAGGTGGGCCAGGGTTGAACATTGAAACAGCTACCTGGGCCTCTCGCACTCTAAAAATTTTGTGTCCCCTTTAGGGCGGGGAGGGACGGAGGCTAGCTATGGTTGGTCGTCCACATTTAAGGCTATTGATGGGTGTTCTCACCACTCGAGTCACTGCCTCCCGATTGTCCATCTGAAATGGATGGGCAGGGTGGAAGACGGGTTCTGTCGTTTGTGCCTGGAGGAGGACGAAACATCCTCTAAACTCTAAACGTCACTCTAAATTAAATTATATTCGAATTGAATAAAATGAAGATCCAAAATCTTTTCAAGTTTATTTAAATAATTTATTGGAATTTTTTCAAAAAAAAATATTTTAATTAATTAAAAATTTCAATATAAAACTACAAATCACTTAATTACTCAATTAAATATTCATTAAATTTTTGAAAAATATTTTTCAAAAAAAAATACAAATTTGTTTTGTTTACAGTAGAAATTTTTTTTTTCTTTTAAGATTTTCTAGGACTCTTTAAATGAATATAATTTGATTATAAAATTTTCATCAATAAAAAAAAAAAAAAACAAATATTTAAATTTTATTTTTGTATATTTAATATAGGAAGGGCTTCGAATAGGCAAATAAATTCCATTTTTTTTTTATAACCAAATTTTTTATGATATTGAAAATTTTTTCTCTGATTTCTGAAATAAGACTTATGAATATTTTTAAATTAAATGCAAATTTCGTAAAATATCCTAACACCACTCACTATGCAACTCATTTAAAAGAACAATTAAGAGGACCAAATTAATAAAATATTGATATTAAGGAAAAATTTTTCAAATACTGCATGTATTCATACATTAAAATCGTCTATGATACACAATAAATTTTACTCCATGAATATTTGAAAAATATTTAAAAAAAAATTATTTTTCAGTGTTTAGAGGTCACCCTTTTTAACCTTTTTAAATTATCTTAATAAAAAAAACACTATTTCTTCCCCCCACTTCATCTTCATCCCATCCCCCTCCCCTAAATTGTTAATGTTTTTGTAATTTTAAAAATTTTGTCCCATTTTTTTTTTTTCTCTATTTATTTATACAAGAGTTATTTGGCCATGATGGCATCCATTAAACAATTTATATTGTTGTGGAATATTTGTGCGGTTTTATTTATTTTTCTTTTTTGTTGGTCACAAAACTTTACATCAAAGCTATATCCTCTTTCTTTGACACACACACACACACACACACACAAAGATTTTTAATAGAATTTTTAAAATGACGATTTTGTTCATTTACTTTTATATGAAGTGGAAATTTTCCATTTTCAAGACAAAAAAAAAACAAAAACAAGAAAAAAAATATTTTTTATTTTATACAAAACTTTTTTTCTTTTTGTGTTTATTGAAAATTTATTATAAAAATGAACACACTTTAAGAATTATTAGAAAAGTTTTTATAAGTTAAGTGATTAGTCGCATTTATTAAAACTGGAAAGGAGTCGCACTTAAGAGAACAAAACAGGAAATAATTTCTATAATTTATTGTTTTGCATTTGTTACTCGTATGTTAGAAAAGTATGCAGCACTCTACTGTGTTAGTGGAACGCAAATTCATTATTTTCAGTGTCATATTTATGGTCTGAACTGATGATATTACGGCTGAACTAATTTTAATAAAATTTTTGTTTTGTATGTAGATATTTCCTTTGGAAATCCGATGAATGTTCATTGATTTCTGTAGCGTATCGGATTTAACGAACTGAATTTGTACCATAATTGGTACCTAAAAAAATTATTCACTAATGCTCTTAAAACTTTAAAATTCAACGCAATTATTTGCCAGAATGGTAAAATAAATTAAAAAAAAAATTGAGATAAAATCTAGAGGAAGCGAATGAAAGAGGTTGTGTTTCAATAAATTACATATAGTTTCAATTGGAACAATCATAAAATCGGACAAACCGGCTCAAATACTCAAACGTTATCATTATCGTTAACTATTTGTTAGAGATAAAAACTTGAACATTGAAAACCTCTACACATTTTAAATTAATTTTATGTTATATGCATATATACACTTACATTTTATGTATGTATTTGCTTTTGTTTTATATTTTTCATATTATAGAAATACGAGAAAACGCAATAAGTTTCTTTTCTTTTAAATTCTTAATATATAAAATCTTTGAGGCTATTTAAAATATTTTGCAATTCCAAATTTCTTTTTCACCCAAGTTCTTCCAGTCAATTTAAAAAACAAAAAAAAAAAATTTTTTTTTTTTCTTATTTTCAAGAATAAAATGGAAAATTTATTTGGACTGAATCAGAAATTAAGAATAAATTTGTTTTTTTTTTTAAAGTCGAAAAGATTTTCAGTAATTTTCCGGCTACTATTTGCCTATTGCCTTCTGTAGTTTTAATTGTGTATAGCGATCGTATATAAACTACAAAATATATTCGGAAAAAAATATAGAAGAATAGAAGATTTTCAATTAATTTCATAACACAAGAAAAATAATTTTTTAGAAGTAATCCGAAAATAAAAACTAGATTGGAGCCAAGAGGCTCAATTACATATTCCTAAAGACCAAATACAATTCGAAAGCGATCCCTTTCCAATCTTATATAATAAGTAAAAAACCAGTTCGAATGTAAATTTTCCTTTGTCTTATATTCATGAAATGAAACAGGAAATAACACGCGTCCAAGTAAAGTAACTAGGGCAAAACAGTGTCGGATGGTGAGGCTTTGTATTTAGATATAGAACAAAAAATAAATATATTTTTAAAGATTTACGTATTGCCGTCTTCAAGAAATTTTTGATATATTAATTTCGAAATCAAATTCGAATTAAACCCAATGATTTTCATATTATTTTCTGATATCTACGTCTTACATCCCAAGTAGTCTGATATTTACAAGGTCCTAATGTTTAACATATATTTAAATATTAGATATATGTACATTTATATACCTTTATTGAATAAAATTTTCCAACCTTTTAAATAACATTAAAAAAAACACAAAATCTAGGGTCCAATAAAGATGATTATTGGTTTCACGGAAAAAAAAAGTGATGCCGAACAAAAAAACAATAAAATAAAAAAAAAAGGAAAATTCGTGCATTTGAATAAAGAATGACAAATCAATAAAAAAAAAATTCAGTTGATTTTTTCTAATGCTTTCCTTAAATATTTTGATTTTCGCTCTATACCCTCACAAACGTATATAAATTCCATGCATACTTTGGTAAAGTAAACATTTTGGTTGCGTATATTTTGAATTTATTCAACAATTTTTCATAGTGATTTAAAAATATCAAAAATAATTGTTGGGGAGGGTAATGAATGATTGACAAGGGGGCTTGCGCGGAGGGGAGGGGGCGTTGGCAAAATTGCGTAAGCAAAAATTTTCTTAAAATATTGAATTTAAGCATTCGAAATAAATTCTAATATAAATTAGGCAAAAAAAAAATACCCACAAGGAAAATTCGTAAATTGATGAGAAGAGAAAGTTTTTTCAAAGTTTCTAATTTAAATATTTAATAAAAGAGAAAACAAAAAATTTACAAATTTTAATTTTAAATTCAAATATTAAAAAAATAAAATTGAATAATAAAATTAACAAAAAAAAACCAAAAATTCTTGTATTTCCTTTTGAATTTACAATTACGCACACAAGATACAAAAATTTATAAAATATAAAATTTTAATTTTAAATTCGAAAACAAAAAATTAAATAAATAAAAGTTTTAGAGAGAAAAAAAAAATTGAATAAGTCGAAAAATTATGTTTTGAAAGAATATGAAATGAGATACGGACATTTACTCAAATTTCTGACAGAATATAAATATATTTTTTGTATTTTAATTTTTAAAATTTACTCACCCTCAAGCGTAAAATGAAAAATACAAGAATTATACAAAATTCAATTCGGAAAATTCGGAATCTCTTTTTTATCACAAAGATAAAAAAAAAAAGATTTAAAAGATTTCAATACTTTGAATGGGAGTAAAAATGCGAGTAAAAATATTGTTATATTTAATAAAACTGATAAAAAAAATAAATCCATAATCCCAAGTTCTAATTAGTTTCCTTATAATTGTTATTAATTAATTATAGCTGAATTGACAAAATTAAAGGAAATTGAGAATTGCAAACGAAAAACGAAAAATAAATTTTCAAAATT